GTGTAAGTTTTGGCCTGGAACTTGCCAGTTAACACACCTTCTGGAACATTCTAGGCTTATGCGTAAGGACCCTCTATCCACTGTTTGGTTTTTTGACATGACTTTCAAAAAAACCAAACACTAGATAATAGTGGTTAGTGATATGCAGCATACAAGAAGTAAAGTTCTACTACAAACAGTTACAAAATAATAGCATCAAAGCATGTCTTCCTTCCAGCATTCTGATACTACAGGCTCAGGTTGGTCAGACCTAGAACCATTTGAGTCCTGCAAGATTTCTACAAATGTATCAGTTGCAGCTGAAAGATCTTACTCTTTTAAGGAAGTTTTATCTGAGACCAGCTCACAGAAGCTACATTAAGGTTCTGTAATATTTAATCAGAAAACCTACCAGCGCAACATGAAACAGATAACCAGCGTCTGTTTTTACAGATGCTTATTCTGAATGGGCGTTTCAGAATACTGAAGACAAAATTTCCTTCGTGGCCTACTAAATAAGACCTTCACTGTAGCTCCTTTATGCTGCTTCTTAACACATACAGCATTGAGCTGTCTCTTAGCAGCTTTTGTGTAAGTATCCCCAACTTATGTTTTTAAGTCTTATTAATTCACTCAGTCCTTTTTTGCAGAAACCAGTGGGCAGCTTTTCATCTTATTGTACATTTTGCTCAATTAAGTACCTGAACAAGTTTAGAAGATAATTATTCTTCAAGCTCCTTAAAAAACCTGAAGATACCTAGCACCTCTGCAAGCTGCTGGAGGAGTTGTATGGCTGGATGATTTAACCAAAAGCACCTTTAGAACACTTTAAGCTGCATCAGAACTTGCAAGAGTTGCTAGAGGCTGACATTCTTTAATTAGAGTGATTGTTTCATAATACTTTTGAAAAAGCTCCCCTGAAAAAAAGACTGAAAGAGAAATTCTACAACTGCTCACAAACCAATAGATATCCAGAGGCTTTAAGTACAAAACCCAAACTTGTAACAATACTCTAGCACTCTGTTTCTTAAGGAGCTTCAACACAGTGAGTCAATTGTGGCTAGTGCATTATACATGATACAGTAATTAGTTACTAGACTTTCTCAGTGCCAATCTGCATTTAATGCCCCAAATCTCAGAGCTGTTATTGTCAACTGTTGGCCTTGCAATGGTTGTAAAGTATGAATGATTGATCTTAACGCCAGGCAGTGCATTCCCGATGAACCGCAGGGAGGCATCAGTCACTATGCCAAATGCCTGAAGAGTCCTCAGTGTTGGAATTGCACCAAGTTCTCTAGAAAGAGAAAAATATGAAATTAATCAGGAAATGGAAAACTTCTTTGCAGTCTGTACTCCATCTAAATAACTCCATTTCCACTGATTTTTAGAAGAAGGTAATTATTTACACTGAATTCCCCTTAATACTTTTAAAAAGCACAGTTAACTGAAACTAGTTCTCTGTACTGGTACTTAAGGAAACCAACTGAGGCTGAATAAATTCTTGCTGATCTCTCACAGAGAGAAAAAGTGGTGCTTTCCCTTTCATTTCCCTGAGCTTAAAAATTAGAACAAGTGGAAGAAATTGCCCCAGATGAAGTTTCAGGATGTGGCTAAGAGGACACAAGCCCCTAGGTACTAACAGTGTCCAATTAGTGGCAATGTTTTGGTGAGTAGCTATCCCTGGCTTCTTGATTGCTTTACATTTTCGCAGTCATCACGTGACCTGTGTACCTATAAGCAAGTATTGGACAAAATCAAAAGGCAGAGGCACACCCTGCTACAGGAAATATACTTCAGATTCCCAATTTCAATAGTCCTGTTCCTCTCAACCTTTTTTCTTGTTGCTGACTGTTTCCTTTGGATTGGCATCCTGAAAGCATTAAGATAGAAAGCTGCTGTACTAATAAAAGGCAGAAAACCCTCACAAGTCTAAGACAAGTTTCGTTCACAATCCACTAGCTGAAAAAGGTGCACACAAAAGCAGTCATACACAGATTAGCTAGGCAGGAAGTACTTTCAACTCTGCCAACTTTTCCAAGACTAGCTGCATAACTGGAAGTCTAGTATTGACGTTGGTACTGGTCAATAGCAGGACTGGAACCTCCAGTTTCAGTAATGACTGCCATTAGGATAATGCCACTAGCAGAAAACACAATGCCTGCACAGACCAGCCAGTTCTATGAGGACAGACTGACATCACTGAAAGATTCTCTCAGATACCTTTGGTTCCAGTCTGGATTCTCTAAAAGGTATATGCTCTAGCAGTCAGGTTATTTTATCTCAGTTCCTTATTCCCAATTCCTCATACCGATAAGTTTTTCAAAACAGTACTTGCAATTCTAAACCAAGCAAGTTTAAATTAACTTACCCTGTGTATGAATAGCGAACCAAAGCTACTTAAGAGATTACTTACACCAAGGCAACAGGTGATATCTGATAACATCGGCTAAGACACAGATGCTGAAGACACTGGAGTTGCTGAAAATACTGGAAGCACTCAGGCTTCAACATCATGCTGTCACTGTATATGAGAGCACATTAAATAAATGTTTAAGTATAAAGCAGCAGTAAACTTGGTATTTCCAAAATTCAGGCTGAGAAATATAACACATACAAACTTTTTCCACCTTTTTGTTTTTGCTCAATATGGAAACAACCCATCTCTAGTGTGTATGTGCTGTGGGGGAAGAAATTTTGATTTTCACTGAAGGGCAAGTGAAGCAGAAGATTCTCTTCATGCAGATAGTCTGCAGCAGAACTCATACCACAAATAGGCAAGTAGTTCATATAGAGATTTCAAAATATTGTGACTAGGTCAAAACCAAAATACATCTTTACAGTCATATGGCCAAGTCACAAATTTATTTTAGAGATGAATTAAATGCTCTAGGATGCTAGGTTCAAACTGTAGGCATCTAAATGCCTTCCATCCTACCTATTGACTACCATCACTTGTTAGTTAACAAGTCCTGTAGGTACGTAATATTTATACTGAGGTAACAAAGAAATCTTCCAAGTTAGTTACCTGCTCCGTATGAGGTCATGCCAGATAGCAAACCTTTTGTAGGTTTAGCATAGTGGTATTTCCTGGTTGTGCAGTGCTACATGCGTTATTGCTAATCCCCTGAACCATAAGGACTTAAGGACTAGCTGTACAGGTCTTCTTACCTGAGGTCTAAATGGACAAGCAAAGGACATCTTCTCACCAGTGTTCTTACGTCTGAAAAGAGGTCACAGAGTCAGTATTTCTTTCACTAACAAACATGCTTTACACAGCCTAGTCACTTCCATATATGTTCATTTATATCTTCTCTATGGGAACTTGACAACTATAGCTCAATTTTTTGTTTGAAAGATACATGCTTAACTTACAGCATATAGTATGCCAATCTAGATACCTTAAATGAACATTTTTTAATTCTCAGCAAACCAGATGCTTTTAGCTGCACAAAATGTCCCTAAAAGTCAGTGAAAGAGTAACAAAAATTTTCCACACATCAAATACCCTTTCAGAGCACCAAGTTCTTTAGGCATCTTTAGGCATTTTTACCAAGAAAAAGTTCTTTCCTTATGCTTTTCCTGATTTAAACTTTAAATTCTTGAGACCCTTTCATTGTCTGCAAATAGCATACCCGTGGCTCAGATATCACCTAAAAGCCACTATTATTATTGAGGTGCTAAACAACCTACAAGACAGTTTTGGTATTTCAGAATTTTTCTGCAAAAACTAAAGAAAACAATACCTAAATTATAATGATTAATGTACTATTCAAGTCTTATGTCTCATAAATTGCACTAATACAGAGTAAAGTTACTTGGAGAAAGTATTTTGCAAATAGAAGAGATCAGCACATTGTCTCTAACAGTCTGATCAACAGAAGGTTCAAATTCCTGATGTGGAAGAGATTATGTAGCATATTTGTTTATGGGTTTGGGGCTGAGATAAGACAACTGGCCTATTTCCTCACAAGGGGAATGCATGTTGGGGTCTGTGTGATGTTTAAACAGAAATAAAAGAGGTCACTACCTATGTGTCAGCAATGCCCTATTGTCACATTCACTCATTGAGAAAATTAATTTATCTTTACCACCAAAGCAATTTCACCCTTTATCTATGGATCTTGTTCATTTTATTGTAGCCTCAAGTCTAAATTAATCTGCATTTTCTATTACCCTACAGCTTTAAAAAACTTCTCCTCCGAGAACTATTAGCAAGGAAACAGTTAAATGTTGATTACTGAGATTATTTGCCTTCCAAATTAACTGATACCTGTAGGACATCTCATGTCAGACTGCAACTCCAGGTGTTACTACGACAGCTCTCTTTTGAAAGATGCCTTCAGCAGCCACCAGAGAAGAAGCCTTGAGAAGGCTCCAATCACAGTACTGAAAGCCTAATTCACAGTGGAACACAAATGCCTGCTTCCAGGACTTACTTCAGAAGTAAGGGCTATGCCTTTCAGCTGAAGATGAAATGATCTTTCACCTAACTGGTTTTAAATTCAGAAGAAAAATCATCTCACTCTTCATGGCTGAGCCAGAAACATGAGTAAGATTCTCTGACAGCAAGAACTGCAAGCTATACAGAGCACAAAATCAGTACATGATTTTTCTGCACACAGAGTGGATGCCAACTAGAAGAAAATATAAAGCTCTGCTGCTTTATCCCATAGTGGGATAAGAGTTTGTCAGGCTGCTATTTACCTGCCATTTGTAGATTCTCTCTATATCCACTTAAATTTAATCTGATGACCACTGAAGGAATATGACTGACAGCTGCTCTGACATGGGTGGCTGTGAAGTCACACCAGGACAAGTTCAGCTCCTCCAACCTACACACAAATGAACAAAGAGTGGTTAACAAGAATGACTGAAATGCAGTTCAAATTCTGGTATTTTCTGTGACAGTTGATAATTTAAAAGCAAATACTTTTAACACACCTACAACCAACTTCCTGTATTTATGACTAGAAATTCTGCTATGACAATAATTAAGCACTTATGAATGGAGCAGGTTACCCAAGCAGAATCTGTCTTTGGAGATTTTCAAGACCCAGTCAGAGAATGTTCTTATCAACCAGGCCAGTGCTGATTTTAGACACTGATCTGGGTAAGGGCTTAAACTGACTTTGCAAAGCTACTTCCAACTGGAGTGATTCAATAGTATCTTAGGAAGTGAAGGTTCTCTCCAGAGAGTGCCACAGGAAGATGCTGCCTTTTCATCAGGGTTTGTGACCTGAACCTGTTACTACTGAACAGATGGTCACATTGAGAGGAAAAAAACACTATTCATTATTAGCATTGGTCAGATGACCAATTAATCCCAATTAGTGTAAAACACTTCATAGTTTCATATAAACATAGGCCATGCTGTGAGCTTAACTCTCCTTATGTGCTTGATTACCTATAGCCTATCACCATGGGGCTGGGACAAAGTCTTGTTCTGTGTGCAGGTGTTGTAGCTGTAACTAGAGGACAAAGACACAGTGAATGCACAACTAGAGTATTTAGCTGGCAACCTCTACATAAATGAAAAACCAGTTAAATTGCCACTGGCATTCCTAGGATCAGGTTTGCCATCTGCTATTCACTGTGCACTGCACAGACTGCCATCCTCTAAAGAGCCCATGATCCAAGTAATCAGACCAAGCAATAGAAAGATTAAGGCTTTGGCTATCCACTAACTTGCAATTTGATTAAAAAACATGCTTTTGCAGAAGGAAAGATTAAGTACATTGTCCAGCTTGTCACAGGAAGTTACCAGAAAGACTGGGATAGAAATCCCAGACTCACTGGGTCTCAGTTCAATGACTTCCTGCCAGCAGATGGTTTAATCACTGGAGCTGTCAGTCTGAACGTAGCACCTCATAAACTAGAAAGTTACTGAAGGATTATTCCATCACGGAAAGGCACAGAGTCCTCTGCCATACACACTGTACTCTGATTGCAAAAGGAGCTCTGGGACTCGACTTTCCAGTTTGAGAACGTACACTTTTATTTCAGGAGGATTTTCATTACGAAAATAAAATTTACGTGTTATCAAAGGAACATAATACAGGGTTTACCCACCCACCAATGCGAATGATTAAGGAAACCCACGAAAAACTACTCAAGTACATCTTTGCAGTTCAAGGAGAAAATTGCCTGATGGAAAGACACTACCTGACTATTCAGCTAACAATCAACTGTTAGGCATTTAGAAACAGAAACAGGCACACAGAAAAATGGTATTAGACACAAGTATAATTGGGTTGTCTAAGGAAAAAAATAAGGATCTTTTTTCTCAGGAGTAGCAGTAAGCAAGAATAGCAAAACCTAGTTTTGTCTTACATAGAACAGCGGCTCAACATCAACCTCAAGGCTGCTGCAGAAAATCCTGAGCATCCACAGAGATTTAGTCTTGTCAAATTCAGATTCCTAGCAATGCTCCTGTAGAGAGAGAGAAAAGCAAATATTTAGATGTTGGGACATTGCTTGCATTTCAAGGATGTGTGGTTATTTTTAAGAGCTGAGATCCTGGGCATGTAATTATTTTATTAACATACCCTGCTGCATCTTTAATCAGCTGACCAACCCAAGTATCACTAGGGGTCTCAACTCAGTGCTTGCTGTATCACAGCACCACACTGAAAGGGATACCTACCTATTTACCTGATATTCCTGAAAAGTTTGCATACTTACGTACTACTAAGTTACAACAAAATTATTTATGTACTACTAAGTTACAACAAAATTATTTATTTTCACCTTCTCCTACTGTATGCCAATAAACACACGTCGTCATCACTTGTTAGAGATGACTATACCTGTGCAACCATCCCATTTCTGATGTCACCCCTCTGCAAGATGGAGGTTATTATAGAACAAAACACAAGTCCAGATAGCATCCCCTGAATGCGTGTGTTTGCAAGACTAGGGCAGACATGCAGTTGGCAAAACCAGGAGAAACTCTTATACCCAGTATCTGTATTTGTACACAAGGCATAAATTCTGTCACTGGTGTCTGATTAGTATTAAGTTTTCAGATAGTTTTAACCTGGTATCAAAAGCCAAACTATATTGGTTTATTTGTGTTCTGGTTCTCCCTCTCTGGAGTCTCTGCCATCCTCTATGGTCCCTGGCAGTTGCACAATAGCCTGATGTGATGCTACAGGAGGTTGACTGCACATCCATTAGTGTCTTTTCAGTTTAACCAAAAAATAGTTCATCTGCTTGACAGAATCTGTAATTTTCCAGGACCTCACAGTGAAGTTCAACAAAGAAGTGAGCAATAATGCAGAAGGACAAATGAGCATCTGGTGGGAGAGCTGTTGAGAGCCCTTAAAATAGACAAGAACCTGCACATCAAACACAAAGTTCTCTTGGGAGCACAGAAATGGGAAAATAATTGGCTTGGACAGCCAGTGGGCCAATAAAACACTAGGGAGATGAGCAGTTTCTCCAAACTCCTGCTACTCTGGGGAAGGAGGAGGAAAAAAAAAAAATTATACCAAGAAATGCTCTTCTGTAGGTGTGTTCCCTCCTCACCTCATCTCTTGGAGGACAGAAAGAAGCATCTTATCTAGCCTGCCAGCTTACTTTGCTAGGTGCCTAAAACTGGCCATTTCAAAAGCCTCTCACAATGAACAACTCTCTACCCCATTCTTTCACAAGCCTGCACAAAATGATGGCACCAAACAGAAGGTATTTAGTGAATATTCACAAGTATGTCACTCACTTTAGGACCGTGTCAGAAAGCACTAGTCCCTCCAAGCTGAGCTTCAGCAGTCTTTCACACAGGCAAAGAATACTGTTAAGATGTATAGTGGACACTGTGCAGTTTGACAAATCCAGATACTGAAGTTTAAGATATCTTAAAAAAAAAAAAAAAAAGGAGAAAGTCAGGTTACTAAAATTGCATTACAACCTGCTCTACAAATTTCCCACAACACAAATATATTCCATACACTAAAAATCATGCAAAACTTGCAGAAACTAGTTCTATTGCTGTATTCAGCTGCAAACTGAATATACTACCAAGCTCACTGGGCCCTACTGCTAAGCTAGCAGCCAAAACTCAGAACTCTTATCTTCAAAGCATTTGGGGTTCCCCGTAACACCTTAAAGTCTGTCCTGCTGGAGTTGCATAATTTTTTGAGTGTCCCATAATAATGCTGAAGATTATGACAATTTTTGGTTCTACAGCATATAAATTGCAAGGGGATGATGGTGCTTGTTACTTGCACATTAACTTGGTTTTAAATAACTGACAGGTGAATGCAGATCCTCCTGTTTCTACACATGCCTAACCATGCTCTTCCTCACTCCACAGATAGCACAAATGCTGCTACTCGTACAGACCTTAAAACCAAAAACATGCAGAAAAACTGTGAATATTTGGGACACAGTTACACTGTCCAGAATATGCAGAAAAAGCCTTACTTCTTTGTTTTAAACAAGGGATCCCTAATACAAGATCTTGGGCAGCGCAATGCAGTAACACCTGCAGGCAGCAACCGTCCAATCACTCCTGGCTTCAGATTTGCACCAGCCAAATCAAGTGTCTGCCAGAGAGACTCATCACACCTAGGACATAGAATTTTATTTGCTAGTGAGTTAGAAAGGGTCAGAACTACAACCACAGAAGGTTCTCAGTGTCAAAAACAGACAAAGGAGGGAAAGGTATTTAACAGAACATAATGTCAAAATATGTGAAGCATCTTTTGATAGTACATACATATAACCCATATATAGAATAAATTGAACTATACATGAATAAACAAGATGAGAACCAGGTTGTTTAACAGTCTGTGGAAACAAAAGTTTCCTTAGCACTAAGTGATGAGAAGTAATACTTACGCAAGACGATGCCATCTCTTGTTAACCAAAGAAACTTTCAACAATTGTCTTAGGGGCAAATGTGCAAAGATTGCCAAAAGCAACTCA